ACAGCTTGTCGATATTCATGTGATTGTGTTTGATCAAGTAAATGAATTGATTGATTTGATAAAAGATCAGGTAAAGTTCTTTTTTGTTGTGAATTAATATTAATAAATTCATCTTGTGTACAATTAATTTCTTTTAATGAATCATCAATATCTGTTTCATCATCGAAATCGGAATCATTTCGAGCTAATTCATTTAATTTTTCAACAACAGCAACTAAATCATCTGCTTTTCTTGGAAGTGCAATGGGTGGACCAGGATTAGATGGAAATGTTGAACGAGGAATATATTCTTCTAAATTATCATTTCGATCTGTATGTTGAACAGATTTAAAATTTTGTCTTAAAGTATTTAAATTATTTTCTTTTTGTGTTAAATGTTGTTGATTTAATAATTCATTTTCATTATCTTCAATATTATTTAAATTATTTCTTAAATTATTATTATCATCATCGTCATCATCATCATCATCATTATCATCATTATCATCATCTTCATCATCTGATTTTTTTGATATTTGTTGTTGAAGTGGGGGTGCTGGTTGTTGTTGTTGTTGTGGTTGATGTTGTTGAAGATCATCTTTAATCAATTGATGAGAATGATTTGATGATCGACGAAATTTTCTTGTTTTATCTAAATATTCTTTTATTTGAAGTTTAATTTGTTTTTCTTGACAATCTCGAATAAATGAATGTTTTAATAATTGGTCACAATTTGAACGAATTAAATAATCTTTTATTAAACATGATTCAACAAAATTATGAAATTTTTTTGACCTAAAATTTAAATTAAACATAGAATTTACTTTAAAATAAAACAAAAATCAAACCATTTAGATTTTAAACGTGGGGCAACATTTCTTGGAATTAAAAAAAGTGCTCGCATTGGATGCATTTCACATAAAGCTAAAAACGAAAGATATATTTTTTTTTGAAAATTCATCAAAAGTATTTATTTTTGAAAACTAACGTGGTTGTCCTTCAGCCATTTCAATAGCTGTTATTCCTAATGACCATATATCACTCTAAAATTAATTTTAGAAAAATTTTATTTGAAATAAATCTTCATCTCCTACTCTATTATCATATGTTGCTTGAGGATTCTCATCACAAGCAATAACTTCAGGTGCCATCCTAGAAAATAATATTTAAAATACTTTGAAGAAATAAAATGAAATTTATACCAATAAGGTGTTCCAATAAAAGTATTTCTTCTTCCAATTGTTCGATCAAGTTGTGCTGATACACCAAAATCAACTAATTTTACTTCAGCATTTTCAGTTAATAAAACATTCTTAAAAGAAAACGAAAAGAAAAAATTTAAATTAATTTTCTTTTTATATAAAAAATGTTTTTTTTACTTGTCCTTTAATATCTCTATGAATTATTTTATTTAAATGAAGATGACTTAAACCATTTAAAATTTCTTTACTAATATAAGATATCCATTCTTCTTTTAATGAATTTCCTTTTGTTGATTTAACTAAATCAGTTATTGATCCAGCACCACAATATTCCATAACCAACTAAAAATACATTGATTTATTTAATAAATTATTCTTATAAATATAAATACCCATAATTGATCATGTTCATTTCTTCCTGGAATTGATTTATTAATAAATGCTCCATAATACATAGCTATATTTCGATGATTTGAATACTATATTGAAATTAATTTATATAAATATATATTCAATCATTTAAATAAAATACAAACTTTTTTTAAAACATTAACTTCTAATTTGATTTCTTCTTCTTCATCCTTAACAAAAATAAATAACAAAACAAATGCAATGATATTTTTTTTTACAAATCAAAATAACTAACTTGTGTAACATCCATAACTTTAATAGCAGCTAATTGTCCTGTTTTTGTATGACGACCCTTTTTTAAAGAAAAATATTACGATTAAATTAAATTAAAGAGTTTATTTGAATAATAACCTTGTAAACTTGTCCATATGTTCCATTTCCAACAACTTCAATTAATTCAAATATTCCTGATGGATCCTAGAAAAGAAATTTTCTATTAATTAATTTTCTAAAAATGTAATATTTACTCGAAGTTGATTAAGATCAATTTCAATTTGATTATTATTTGTCATTGAATTTCGATCAATATCAATCCTAGTCTGTTCTATTCTATTCTGTCCTTTTTCTTCTTTTAACATCTTTCATATCGTTTCTTTCCATCAGCCATTAACATTATCAATTGTTCAATTCCATCATCCATTATAGATGTCACTCAATTACATTTATTCTCATCTATTTTCATTCATTTCAAGTCACTATATATATATTATCCGAAACTATTCATTTGTTTATCTACAAATCAATTTTATCTTGAACTTGTATATTATCATAATTATTTGTCATGAAAATTATATGAAACAATATTCTTTTAAATCTATTTTCTCATCGAAATTCATTCATCTGTATATAGAATAATGAATAAAAGAAAGATTTATTACTTTTCTCTTAAATATCATTTCAATCAAAAAATATCTTTTTTTTGTTTCTACTTTTTAATTGTTCAAAGATATTCACTAACCAATCTTTTTCAAACCTTATTCATTATTTTCTTTCAAATCAATTTCAGTTATCTTCGTAATAGAAGAAGAATCTGTTTACTTATCTAAAGACAAATAATTTACTAGCAATTAAATGTGGCAAAAATCATTATTTATTGGAAATCAACGCAAAAAAAAATTGATTATCAACAAGACATTTGACGTGCTTTCTTTTAGTTTTTAGTTAAAGTACATAAATCAACATTTAAATGTGAAAAAATCCATGAAAATATTAGAAATACTCTAAAATTGTCAACAATCATTCAATCAGAATGTTTATTTTAATTTATATCAGTTAACGATAATCCAGTTGCTCATATATTTAATTTAGAATAATATTGAAATTTATTCATTTTGTTAAACAGCAGATATCTTCAAGAAAAATTCTCTTTATTCGAATAACTAATTTGTAATGTAATCAATCATTCGTAACTTTCTTATATTAATCACTGTTGATTCCGAAACTCGGCGATTTATCAATGAATTTATTTATATTGGTTTATAAATCATGAATTTTTCAACCGAAAATTTAAAATTGTTATAAATATTTTTGATATTTATAAATCTGTTTTTTTATTTATAAACGAATATATTGTATAAGCATCTTATGACCAGTTTACTAATTTTGAACTGATTGATAAACCAAAGTGATTAAGAATTATCTTTATCATTTTAAGTGTCAATATGAGTATGTAACATCTTCATACTGGAATATGATTTTACCAAATTTAAAAATACTATTGTCACGAATTTATAGTAGACATGTTGACAGCTTTGAATATCTAGACTTGTCAAATTATCAATTTCGACCCTATTTATAAATGTTCTAAACTTTTACAATTTTTGATAAACTTAAATTTTTTGTCAAAAGAGTTTTGGGCTGAACGGTGATGTTAATACATTATATTATCTCATCCCGATGTTCTTAAAAGTATTGATTATTCTTGCATTATCATTAGTCTAATTCCTATAAATTATGAAAATATATTCTACATGTTCGTCTTTTTTTCTGATACTTTCTTCGACTATATGACCGATTATTTGGTATATTATATTTCTTTTGAAATTTATTTAATTCTGATAAATATATAGCAGCCATCATGATGTTGGATCGATTTAATACAAATGATTAGCATAACCTCTACATCTTCAATACTGTTGTTCAAAGTTTATAAAGATTAATAATTGCGAAAATTTATTTTGTATGTTCTCTTTCTCGCAGAGAAGAGTCTTGCAAATATAAATTGTCCGATTGCTTGTGTGTTCGCAAGGTCAAAAAAAGACATTTAAGACCGATTTTCAGGAAAACACGTTTCTTTGGGGAGAAGTAGGGTAGATTGATAGAAACCAAGTTTTCGGACAATGCATTTGTATGGGTATCCAAATCAGAGTTGTAACTGACAGGGTTTTTTTCTTACCGGTACTGGTAGGAATCGGCCAGACCGTTTTAACGGCATAATTTTTTACTAGCTTACTATTTAATATATAGGCAAGGATGTGAGTGTGAATGTGATAAAAAAACCAGCGTCCACACCCACATCCTCCTTTCACCTTGACAAAACTTCTGTCGATATCAAAGTATATGGAGTTTGAGAAAAAGACAATCATTGTGATGGCAGTTGGCTGTGTTTCTTATCAATATAGATACGAGTAGTTTGCAAAAATTTACTGATAACAATGAAAGAAATACTTTGCTATGCAAAGTGATATCAATGTAATTAAAAACTTTCTTATCAACCAAACTCGCCCACCCCCTCCATAAAAAAAGCCGGGGCTTTCTTCTGGGATTTCATACATCACACTTTTCTGTGAAAAAATCCCCGTGCCTCTACAGGGCGACCTTTTCTTCAGAGGGGCCCATTATTTCGGGAGCCTTTTAATACGGGAGGCCTGAGCCCACCCCAGCCCACCCTTGGCGCCGCCACTAGGGGGATGGTTCATAAAACTAGGACGAAATAGGAAATTAGACCTGTAGTTTTCTAAAAAAAAATCGTATTTTTCAGTATTTTTATTAGAAAGAGTCGAAAAAACTCAATAAAAAATAGAAAAAATCTGTAGCGGGCTGGTACCCAGACAGACAAAACTCAAAAAAAACGGAGAAATACCGGGTAGAAATTTTGAAGTTTTCGCGAAAATAAACCGGGAAAAGCGCACATTTTTACGATTTTTATCTCCGTTAGCTTTGTCTACTGTGATTAACGCGCCGATAATCTGTGCTTAAAGCGTTAAAACTCACAAAATAACGTGTAAAACCACGTTGAATTCCGCGTTTCAACGAGTAACTACAGAGTAGATTTTAAACGCGTTTTTTAAAGGTCTTGTCTGTCTGGATAGAAAAATATCTGTTTCGGCCGACAGGTATACTAACCGGTTACAACTCTGATCCAAATGTTCTTCAGCTTGTAGTGCAGTGTGGCGGTTATAAACTGTTGGCTTTCTTGCTTATACGACTACTAACACTTCACTTCTTCGTTAAAAGCTAATTCGAGAAGCCCCTAGTGTTGACCACTGAGAAGCATGCAAGTATATGCTATGAGTAAGGAACAACAAAGGAGAGCAAGGTTTGCGATTGTTGTCCCAGTAAATGTATTGATTTTTTAGGTATTTTACTTTATTTTATTATTTTGAAACATTTAATGGAAGATATTTATATCTCACTTTGGAGGTAGAAGAGAGTACAGCGAACGGTAAAAGGATAGTATATCTTTACCATACATCACAATAATATGATTGTGAACAACCATAACGCTCAGTGAAACTAGCTTATCTGTATTGAAAGATTGCAAACATTAATTTGTTGATAAAACTTTTAAAGTGAATAACAAATGTAATTTATTTTAAGTTTGTCCTGATCACTTTTATCAACTACTCAATCTACATGCATTATTTACATTGCAAAGCATTCCGTTCGTCTATGGCCTTTCGATTTGGAACATCTCGTAGTACAATGAAACATTGATTTTACTTGCAGTTCGTCTCTTGCAATTTAGTTAGTGTATTTGGTGACAGATACAATCAACAGCTTCATTAATTAAATACTCAGATAATGAACAATTTCTTTTGACCATTTCGAAAAAGTCTAGATTGTTGAACCAAAACCAAGAGATAAGATCAGTTAAGAAACGAATCGAAAAAAAACGTAGTTTCAATATGCACTGTGCAACTTATATGATCGTGTTGCCAGTGATTTTCTGCGGTTGAATAGCTTCGTGCAAGGATACCATGATGTTTTTGCAAACCGTGTCTCTATTAGTCACTCAACTAGGGATAGAATTAAAATCTGAAAAGGGTTTATATGAAAAACTCGGCGATCGTATCAATAGATTCGTATTGAGATACGATGCTAACCATTGGAAAGATTATTTAAATGGAGTAGCAACTAATGCCACATAATAATAATAAAGGAGACGGTTTGTCTACGAAACACTCCTAATTGAAAACTCCATCTAAAATTATTTTCATACGAAAACCCATGTTTTCCCTAAGATAACACTACTCTGGAGTCGCCTAGATTATTCTCGTTAATCCTTTTAAACCTATTCTAATAGCCACCTTCTTGATCCTCCATCAGCTGGCCTCTGTTAGGTATTATATTCTGGTGTTACTTATGCTTATAAATTACCGTCGGTGGGAAAGCGCAAAAACATGTAGTTAAATACACTGTTCTCTATATTTTTCACGTGTCACTCTATTAGTAAACGAAGACATCCTTTTTACTGGGATAGCCCTATTCAGGGAATTTCCATTGCGGTTCGTCCAGCGAGCGTCATTTTTTCACCGTAGATTGAAGTCACTCAGAGCTACAAAATGATGCTAAAACATGTGGGTAAACATACTAAATTCGATTTTTTCGAGGTATTATACGGCGAATTTTGCGTGCGGGATGTCTTCGTGGCAACCATAGGAAGAATGATTTCATTACCCAGTGGGTCATTATTGAAGGCTCTTGAGTACTATCTTTGGCATAGTATTAATGATTAGTTACATATTAACTGATGGTAATGGGTTTTTGCAGTAACTACCCAAAGCCTTCTCATAGAAAATTCACAATATAATCACTCAAAAATATAGATCATGGTATATTTACCCACTTTTTTTAGTATCATTTTGTAGCTCTGAGTGACTTCTATCTACGGTGAAAAAATGACGCTGGTTTCGCTAGTCATAGTGATAATCTACTGGATGAGACTATTCTAGTGTATAGGATTTCATACGTCGCTGATGTTATCGACGAATCCGCATAATTTTACCAGCGATCCGTTCAGGTATGCGTTTCAAATGTTTAACTCATGTGTCAAATAGAATTTAGCCAACTCTATCGAACCTTGAGGGTGTGGGTGTTGTGCTTACTAAGTGGACATTCTTATACACACACTATCGCGAGGTCATCTTTAGGTAAAGCCCATCGGGTCCACACATTTCTAGATCCGGACCCGGACCCGAAGCCATATCCGGGCCCAAGTCGGACCCGATCTTGATGAGCACTAGCCTGAACTCGAACTGTAGTTTTAGACTCTTAGTAAATTTTTCAACTTGAAATCTGATAGTTGCATCGAAAATAGTTTTGTTGTTGTTTTTTCTATTATTTTTATAAATAAATTCAAGGCTTTTTGAATGAAATAAATAAAAATTAAAGAAATTCAAAAAAATATTATGTTGATAGCATATTTCTTCCGATCCGGGCCCGGACCCAATGGGTTCTGCCTTTAGGTGTAAAGCTTGCACTTCCAGGTTCCTGAGAATGATGTTATTATCAAAATTAAGGTTTTTATCTATCTATCTATTTATTCACCTGATTACCTTTCTATACTGTGTAGACACATAGTACTGCTGATACCTTCAGTTTTGATTTCTACTCTAATAGCTGGGCGATCAACTTAACGGAATTAGAACATCAGATGGGCTGTGAATACTTGTAACGAATTATTGAATTCTACATTCTTGCAAAAATCGTCGGTTGATTCGTAAATTTTTTTCCATCTTTGTTTTTCTTATATTGGCAGATAGTAAGACTTTTATCCTCGATGTTTTCAACACGTAATATGAACCGAGTTCAAATAATTAGTTATCTAAGAAAAAAGTTACTGCTTCGATATGTCTTAATTGGAAGTCTTATAAGTTTTGAAGTACTATATATTCTATTCAAACCAAGTATCACTGAAATCGAAACTGTTGTAAAACCCTTTGTAAGATTTTCTCAATCCTCTAACAATCTATGTCATCGACCTGATGGAACTACGTTCATGAACAATCAATTACAAAAATTAGATATAAATGAAACAGACCATCGAAGTGCATATATCAACGAAAGCTATGCTTTACGAATCTCATATATATCGAAAAATTATACAACTTTAAGTGAGTTTATTGAAAATACTCGCATAGCTATTATGTCGCGTCGATTGATTCCAAAAGCTCGTACCCTTGATATAATCTTTCATCATCCGCCGTATAAAGATATGATAAAGCCATTTTGTGACGGTTTATGGATGGAATTTGGTGTGTTTCAAGGTGCAACATTATCTCAAATTGCGAAATGGAAAAGTACATATTGCAGTAACATAAGTCAGTTAGTTTATGGTTTTGATACTTTTACTGGTTTACCTACAGGCTGGAGACCTGGATATCCTCCCGGATCATTGAGTATTCCTAATGGAACAAAAATCTCAGTTCCACTTAATGCTGTTTTAGTTAAAGGTCTGTTTATTGATACATTACCGACTCAACTTCGTTTGCTTGATCTTGAATACCGTTGTACAACTCCAGTATCATTTGTACACATTGATTCTGATACTTATAGTAGTGCGCGAGATGTTCTATTTCTACTTGGAACTCGTTTCGTACCAGGCACAATTATAATATTCGATGAATTATTCAATTATCCATCTTATGAGAAACATGAAATCAAAGCTTTATTTGAATTTTTATCGAGCTCAAATTTACGATTTATACCGTTGGGTGCCACTGATAAAATTTTAAAAAAGCCATTGGACGATGAATGGGTACAATCATTTGGTTTTGTTGTAGACTTCGAAGAACTCAGCTAGGATGATTGAGACAAAAATCCATTATACATCATGTTATTGATAAATCTTAAATATTTTATCTTAAAACCTATTTGTTAAATAAACCAATACATCTGAAATAAGTATAGAAAAATCAACAAGAAGATCAATCTTTCCTTAGTTGATTATCTTAAGGATGAGGGTGGTAGTAAACGTGCAGCTGTACATGAAAGGGTGAGTGTAAATGAGAGTGAGACAGAGGATGTCGATGGAGCGACTATTATATTCTTTCCACATCGGGTTGGTCATGAAAATTCACACCCTTAAAAAAACTGTGCACAATACAACATGTCTGAAAAGTAACTCGATCTCGTATTAACATATTTATATGCAGACGAGTCAAGGTGAGATTATCTATTAATAATAACAACATATTGAAATATAAAATAAAATGAAGAAGAAATATTTTCTTCAAATTTATCCTTTTAAATACTGAGAGGGTATATATTTTCGAATGGCACTCATATATATATATATCTGTGTCTCTGCTATTATATACCCCTTCGTGATTGTTCTCATTTTTATGATTCATGGCTGTCGTGTGGGTGTAGGTGTGGGATGATGGAACAAGGAAGAGACACTGACAGTAACATCCACTCACCTCTCACCCACATCCACACCCACCCTCAAGATGCAATCGAGTGATTAAGAAAATATGTCGCAAAGTATGAAACAACTGATTTTAACTAATGTTGTGTACCAATCGTACTATTTTTATTTATAAAAAAAGAAAGATAAAAAGTAAGTCAGTTTTCACGATATATGATTTCTTATAATTTCCAATGTACACTTATTTTGTTGCCACTACGCTTAATTGAATAATTATCAATAACTGTTTCGGAATCGATTATTTTTGCTAAAGTTCTAACCATATTTTCATCTGCCATAGTAATAATGAAGCACAGATAGCAGAGATCAGGAATACGTGTCATTCGATTGATTAAAATAAGTTTCATAAGTAATGGAACATCTGTATCTAACATACAGTCTACTTCAAGATATTGCATATGTGGGCAAAGATCGATAAAAAATTGAATTTCTTGTTCTTCTGTAACTTGACCAAGTCTGACTTTTGTTATTTTATTAATAGCTAATACTGATAGTTGATTTTTGGTATCTTCAATAGATAAAGATTCTAACTGAAGTATTGGTATAGATAACAGTTTTAATGATTCAATATTTGGCAACAGACATAGAATGTCGAGTAACATGTTTATAGTTATTCTCTTATTATCTATATTTAAATGAGTAAATTGAATTGCTTTAAAGGCAGATTTTAATTTATTAATAAATTGCCAATTAACTTCGGTAAATTCATAATTCTCGATAGTCAATTGTATAATACCATCGGCAGTTTTTTCTTGATTAGAAATATAATTATCTTCGACCGAATTTTGTTTCGAATATATATCAATATTCATATGTTGATGAAGATCGATCCATTCTTTTCTGATAAAGAAAAAATGAAAATATATATGGAATCATTTTCTAAAAGATTACTCTAGATATACTTATATGGACGAATTAAAAAAGTCATTGATTCACAATATACTTCTATCTCACGAAACCATTTTCGTTCAAACCAAAATGGTGAATTAAATCGATTAATGAATCCATCAGTTGAATCAATTAAATTTATATTTCTATCATCATGAATATCCTGATTAAAACTAAAGTAGAATGTTTCTAATTGAGGCATATATTCTTTAATTAATTCTTCCCAACGATTACCATCCAGATAAGTTTTATTCTCAGGTTCCCTAATCTTCAATATTTGTAATTGAGAGGAGATCTCCTTAATAAACACTTCAAATTCTTCAAACGACGCAGCAACGTCATCAAAATGAATGGATTTTAAATATGGTAATTTCATCCATTTATTTTTTTTGAAATCTTCATCTGATTTAGCCACTCCATTGCAAAACAGATGACGAAGTTGTGGTGTATAATGAAGTAGACATTTTAGTTGATTAAGAGTACAAGTATAATAAAGAACCAGATGTTCGATCCTACTAAATTTTTTATTGATTACATGTGGAATATTAATTTGTAATTTATCAGCAGGTAAATATAGTTTGTTATATTTTAATGAAGATAAAGAAAAAATTAATTGATAAATATTTCCAAGATCACAGTTATCATCATCATCTTCTATAGAAATGGTTAATGAAAAGAGACGAGGTAAAGAATTTAAATAAAAAAGAATTGTGAGTAATTTCTCGATTTGAATTTCATTGAGTGTAAGTGATTCAAGACGATAAAATGATGAATCAATAATACAATGATCAAAGAATTTCTCAGTCAATAATTCATCATCCAAACAAATCGAAAGAATACGGTGCGAATTTGGAATTATAACATTTTGACAACGATCTTCAAGTAGAGATATTGATTTTAACTCAAGTTTTATTCGAAGTAAAAGTGATGAAGAAGTGATAAGGTTCTGTAAACGAATATTAAGATTTGAAAATGATTTATATATATCATAACCATCAACATATTCCAATATTTCGTACAAAAGTTCATTTGATAAATTTTCCAAACAGGTGTACGATCTACTGAAAAAATAATATTATACATTTTAACAAATGTGTTCATTGATTACCTTTCGTCACTCAATCTTGCTAAAGAAAAAAGAAATGAAAAAAAATTCTACTCTAATATATTTCTAATTTACTTTGTAGGTGTTTCGTTTCCACATCAATCGATTTATTCGAACTTAGTTGTCGTTTGATTTCATTCATATTTATTCAACAAATATAAAGTGTAAAAGTTTTCTTAACTATACATAATCGACTGAATGTAATGTTATGAAGAAACTAGATTTTCTTTCCTCTATTCGATATATATACATATATACAAATGAACATCGATTAGTCACTCTTTTCTATTCTTTGTTCTATCATTTTCTCTTTGGAAGAAAGATAAGAGAATAAAAGAAATATTTGTGCTTAACATGTATTAGAATTTTCGATAAAAGTTGATATATAATGTATACAGATTGATTACGTTATTTTTTTAAACTGAATTTTAATAAATCGAACGGAAGCCAAAGAATCCAACTTGTACATAAAGAAAATACACGTAGATTAAATATCTTAGGACAAAATTAATCTTATGAATAATCTTTTTCAAATAAATAATTCGATTTATTTATCTAGATTTTTCAAATATTAATCATTGCGAAAAAATCGTAGGAAAATATTTACGTATATACTACAACATCATTTCGTAACTTTTGATGACTATTGTCTTTGCTGAAAAAATGGCAGTGTAACTTGAGAAATTTGTTTCATTATTGATCATGAGATTCGAAAATCTAGTAGAAGTAATAATATTAATATAGAAGATTTCAAGTTTATAGGAGATAAAGATAAATGTTAAAGTTATTCAAATTATCATTGAATCCTTTGTAAAGTTGAGAATAATTTATTTAATATGAATCATCTTCGTCATACTCTTATAATCAAACATCTAATAAAATTTATAAGTTTTATGTTACTTTTAAATCATCCTATATTCTTTATTATAACTCTGTTTCATCATTATTAATATCACGAAAACAATCTTTGTCAATTTCTTCTATTTGTAAATATCGTTGACCATCAACATTTGTCCAATATTTATTTTTATCTAACATTCGTTCATCTATTGACATTTCATTTTCAATTGCAAATATAATACGTGCTCGTTCTAAATGCCTATTGAAATTTAAATGAATAAATAAACAAACGAACGAGAAAAGTAAATCTATTGTACAAACCATATTTGTGTAGCACTTTCAATAACATTTCCATACGTATCACCCATCATAGCTATGAGTAAATTAAGTAAGAGAATAGACACAACAACAACATAAATGACCAGTAATGGCATACTAATATATTGAAATGTTGTTCCCGTATGATG